CAGAGTTGGTCTGGTTGGACTAAATCCATGTGAAAGTCTTTTTAGTCAGTAAATACCCCTAATTTTACATAAATTCTGAGATGTACAAATACTTCTTGTAATTTGTATTATGATAGCATCTAAGAGTGGCAGTTCGGGACCAGAACCCTATTGTGCGAGGGGTTGTGCAAAGCCCAAACAAAAAGATTGTTGCTGCTCAGTTTAAGTAACATATATTTTATGCATCTGGGTTGCTTTGCATTCTGCTTAATTATTTTATCCTCTGAAATCATTCTCTTTATATCTGTTTAATTTATATTTTAATTTGGGGGGGGATCTGGTTTTAGATTGTTATTTTAAGATAAACTATGAATATCTCAAATTAGACTGCATATTCTAAAGCAGGTGCTATATATTTACTTTTAATGAGTGGGAAATGGCAGGAAACTGCTAATTGCCTTCTGGAAAATGTGATTTTCATCAGCTTAGATAGGAGCAGCACCTCTGAACAGTAGAATAGTTCTTGCATGTAACCTGGGCACGGGCAAGGCTGGTACCTGCAGGATCCCATTAGTGATGAAATCGTTGGTTTTGAGCTGGCCCAACCACTCCCAGAGCTAGATAAGGATTAGATAGGTAGTGTTAGCATGTGGCATTGGAGTGGCATTAACTAATGCCAGGTTATAATAAGAAATACTAACTTTCAGGGTTATTAAAAGTACCTTGTATGGGTCAGTTGGTGCTGTGAATTCCCCCAGGTAGTGTTCTAGCAGGTAGAGAAGAGTTGTGACCATATTGACCAGCTACCTTACTACTTGGCTGCCATCGGCACGGTAAGTTAGTATGTCACAGCCATGAATCCTGCGGGGAAGGGCAGCGCTCTTCATGTTTTACACACAGTGAGTCAGGGCACGGTGACGATCTCTGACTCGCCTGAGGTCAAATTGTGTACTTGAGGTGGAGTAAGGAATTCAGCTCAAATCTCACAAGTCCTGGGCTAGTGCCCTGACCACTTGATCAGCCTGCCTCCCTCCCTCCCTCACTACACAAGTAGAAATCTGGCACTGTCTTGGCTGTGCATCCCCTGGCACCATTGCTGCTATGCTTCATTGCCAGGGAAATCTTCTAAGCAGTGCTGATGCATGCAGGGTTTGAAATATTTACCCTTGCTGAGATGAGATCCCTACTCCAGGGATGTGCCGGCTCTGTTCAGAGTCCCAGTTCCAAATCAAGCTCCAGGTTATAAGTATCCAATGAGCTTTTACATACATTTTCCTGGGTGGGTGAATTTTACTCGTAAATATTTTAAAGGCAGTTTGTACACTGCCAGTAGTAGCTTTCTGACCCTCCCTGCAATACTGTTTTAATTCCCTGTCCCATCCTTCCTCATCCTTTCCTGTGTCCTTGTGACACAAGTATTTAACAGAATTCACAGATTAGTTGCACTTTAGCATGGCTGTGTGGTGAGCATTTCTGATATGGCCTCGAATTTGTGAACTCTGTGCTGTCAACTGTGCGCCTTAGTGCTCACGCCACCCCAGCCCCCATGCTTATTAACGAATGTGAAAAGGGTCACCTCCAGCACGGGAAGGCTTTGCTGTGTAATGAATATTTCCAAAGGGAGATGCTTGCAAATAATTCCTTGCAGGAGAACAGAAATCACTTGCTGAACCTTGACTCCAAAACCAGAACTGATGCCAGTAAGAGAGGCATCAAAATTAGCTGCAGCAAAGAGCTTAGGCTGGAAATGGCAACTGATATCATTTGTGTTCATTTAAAGGGCCTTGAAAGCTAAGGGAAAGGTATTTCATTACACTGATGCCTATAATGTATTGAGTTGTTCTATTTCTATGCAGCAAAAAGAACAGACTGTTGCTGCATGTGGATTTGGTCCCACATCATTGATGTCACAAGGAGCTTTTGCCCAGGCCCTTGTCTCAATAAACATTGACAATTTAGCTCTTTGCCATTATCTTCAATAGACCCAGATCAGGCGCATGTCCTAGTACTGGGATGAAAGGAGAGTTTTGCTCATAGTATTTTTCACGAGGCAGCACTTACTAGTATGTTTGGGTTTTTTTCCTCGCTTCTTTCTTACTACATGAATAATGTGTTAGCTTAGTTACAAGTTAATAGTCTTGTTTGGAAGAAAAATAACCCGTGCTCTTCCACTCCAGAAATAGTAGTGGACTACAGATTGGAAGCGGTTCATTTAAAGCGATGTACTTATGGGGTCTTATTTAGAAGCAACTGCTAATTAATACATTAGTTGGCGTTCCCTTCTGCATTCTGCTTACTCATGTGGATTGAATCAGTCTTTCAAAAAAATAGATGAGCTGATGCACATCTCCAGAAGAGGAGATATATAAACCCTCATATTCCAGTCAAGGAATCCAGGCAGCTAAACTCTAAATATTTTAAATAGAAACCAGGGCTAACAAAATAGCAGCAGCTACTTCATCATTTTGGCTGAGCTGGATTTAAAAACCACTGCCTAAAAAACTGTATTTCCTCTAAGTTTAATGCTGTAATTCCTCCATCCTGCAATTACTGTTATCTGTTTTGCTTGCACCTCACACGCACCTCACAGATGGCAAATACTAGCCATGAGTTTCTCAAAGAGTTTATAGGTTTGGCAGGTAGATATAACGCAGACTGAAAAGAGGGTTTTACAGCAAGAGGACTCAGTGAAGTAACAGTAGATTTCCAGAAGCTCACTCAAGGAGAGGATCTGGCACGGCAAATACTAGATGAGAGGCACTTCAGGGTGTAAAGGGTGGCATGCGAGAAGGAGTAAGAAATTGGCCACAGAGGATGGATGGCAAGGTATGAGGGGAAGGGTCGGAGGGTTATGAGGGAGAGTGGGAACTGAGAGTGAGGCTATCCCGTACAGTGATGAGCAGGGATCCTGGTTTTCTCCAATTAAAAAAAAAAAAATCCCCAGTGTTCAGTTTAAAAAAAGTAACCCCAAATCCACATTTTTCTGTGATTAAAATGAAACCCCACTTATATAGCAGTGTTTCATTTTAATCATGGAAAAATGTGGATTTGGAGTTACTGTTTTTTAATCGAAAATTGGTTTTTTTTTAAATCGGAGAAAACCAGGATCCCTGGTGATGAGGATGGCATAAATACATAGACCAAACTCTGTGTGTGTGTGTGTGTGTGTGTGTGTGTGTGTGTG